AACAACTTAATGCAGTTTCTTAATGTAGTTTCAAATGTCTTCGATATCCTGAAAACATAAGCTATTCAAAATTTCTCATGTCATCAAATGGCATGAAAATATTTAAGAATATAATAGAAAAGGGTAGTAATAGATTATATTCTTTTTTTGAGTAACTTTGAGGAAGTAGAACGATTGGCTTATGAGAACGTCAGTTCTTCCGATTTTCTTCCTTTTCAGTTAATATTTATGGAATTTTCGAAACTAATCTGAATTTTGACTTGACTTGACTTGACGAAGCTCTCACATGTATCCTAAACGATTCTGGAATGAACATATATATATATATATATATATATAAATAAAAAGTTAAATGAAAATTAAATTTTTTGTTATGATTATTATTATTATTATTTTTAAATTGATACTCACACACAAGGAATTGACTTTTGTTATGGTTATAATATTATTTTTAATTTTTTTTAATTAGTATGTATTTTTATATATTTTGTGGTGACATTTAAGTCTACAAAATGACCAAATTGAATTATTGTTGATGTTAAAGTATTGACCCTACAATTTTATTCATAGAAAATTTCAATTATTGCAACAAATATGGGAGAATTTACTTGTTTTGATCGATGGAAAATTATCATCAAGTGTTAATGGTCTATAACCATCTAATATATTTTTTTTGAAGTAAAAAAATCAAACAAGTTTTGTCAATTTTGGCCGGGGATGTAAGTAAAGTGAGAATGGGAAGGAGTCGAGAATATATCGAATTTTTTTACTGAGAAGATTAAGCTAATTAGATAGAGATTGATTACAGCTCAAAGTCGATAGAAAAGTTATGTGGATAAGTGGAGACGACATTTATCCTTTGAGGTGGGGGACCACATCTTTCTGAGGGTCCCTACACGGAAGGGATTGATGAGGTTTGGGAAGAATGGTAAGTTGTCGCAATGATTTATTAGACCTTTTGAGATTCTGGAGCGTGTAGGAGATGTTACCTACAGACTTGAGTTGCCACCACAGATGGACAGAGCCCATAATGTTTTTTATGTGTCGATCATATGAAAGTATGAGCCAGATCCATCTCATGTTTTTAGTTAGGTTGATGTGGATATTGACAATGATGTTTCTTACAATGAGGGACCAGTTCAGATTCTTGACATACGGTAGAAGGTGTTGACAGACAAGGCAATATCGTTAGTGGAGGTTCTATAGAGACATCCCGAAGTTCAGGAGGCTACTTGGGAACGGGGGCAGGAAGTTCATTCCAAGTACCCAGAGCTGTTTTCTTCCTGGCTTGATTTCAGGGACAAAATCTCTTTAAGTTAGGGAGATTGTAATGTGTTCCGATTTTCCATTTTTTTCAGGTATTTTTTTATTTTTTGGATTTATTTATTTTTCTCGTCTTGTTTTGCGTGCCACACACCTATTAGCATGACACGTAGGTTTGGAGAGTAGTTTGGGGACATTTCTTTCAGTTTAGGACTTTTAGAAATATATTTGGGGTCGTTTTGCATTTTTCGGATTTTTGATCCGGGAGGTCCCGTGTGAGTCCGCACCTGGATTTTTCGCACTCGGGATTATTTTTCGAGGTCATTGCATTGCATATATATTATTTAGTGTATATCTAGGTGGTTATGTGCTTAAATTAGACTAATTGTAACATGTTTGGCGTATTTATACATATAAAGGGCAAAATTGACATTATGTGGTCAATTTGGATCCCACTTGACCATGGGATTATATACAAGGATCATATAATCAATTTGTGGCCATTCTTTCTTCCTCCATAGCTGAACCATACACTCTCTCCCTAAAATTATGTCTCTGTTTAAATCTACAAGATTCAAGGCTTGATATCTCCTATTTCTAGTTGGATTTGAACTTTGCCATTGAAGGCAAAGTTGACGATCACGACGAGAGTTGTGATTTGATCGGAGCCGATTTTCAATTGGACAGCTTTGGAATTTCAAAAATTTGGGGATTTTGGGGCTTTTGCTTGAATCTTGATGTAGGGGTTTCTAAAGCTCGATTTCTTTGATTCTTGTGAATTATCTTCTTAATAATTGTACCATAGCATGTTAAATTGTATGCTTTGTTCATGGCTATTAAGGCATAGATGTTTGTGAAGCATGATTGTTGTGCTCTATTTGACAATGTGTAAGATTAAATGCTATTTATAATATGGTGAAGATAAACGCTTGAATGATATTATTATATGGTTTACATGTTTAAAATGCTATGAGTGATGAGTTGATTGAATGATAAATTATTGCGTTACTTATCTCTAAAGCATGCAAGTATGATTGCGGTTCAATATATGAATTTTCATGTTAGTAAGACATTGAAATCTATGTAACATTCATAGCATTGACATTAGGGTTGAAATGGGATATTGAGTTTTTTTTTTTTTTTTAAATGAATAAGTGGTTTGGGAAGGATTTTTGAAAAGAAGTTTGTGTCCGTAGTGTTAATGGCACCTAGAGGGGACGTAGGGAGACTGCTCTATGCGTAGTTGAGTTACCTAGGCCCCAAGGAGTTACCTTAAGTCAGGATTGTTAGCCAATCCTCCTCTCATGGCACCGGGGAGTCATTTCGAGCCGGGTTACATTAACAGTTTGATGGTTATAATGTTGGAAAGGATTTTAGAAAATGGGGAAAGACATTAGCATTGCACTAACATTGCATGCCATTGTATTTACTGGACTTGGATTATATAGTGGTTATTTGTTTCCCCAAATTAAGCATGACACACTCTCTCTTATTCTATGCTTTGTGTTGAATTCATGAGATTATTAAGGAGTGCGTTTTAGGTAACTCTTACTGAGCCGTTGTGCTCACCCCTTTATTGCCATTTTTCAAGAACTGGAAAGGAGATAATGGACGTACGACCCACAACATCTCCCATGATAGACCATGAATTTCTTTTGTAAACTAGGCCTTTAGTCTATTTTGAGCTGTAATTTTGATGTAAATGATGAATTTGTAAAGGGCTATGTAATCTTTTGTTATGAGCTTGTTCTAAGCTATGCTATGTATTTATTTTGCGGCCTCATTAGTATTTTTGAATCCATGTAGGGTCTCATGGCCATATTATAATGTAACCAGAACCATTTTACTCGCATATGATGTATCAAGATCGTTTTTGGTTTAATCAAATGCATGGATGTTATTTGTAGTCGTAACCTATCAAATATATGTTTCAGGACATAATTAGACCATGTCTAAGGTTGCAAATGGACCAAAATGGATGCCGGGAACTTAAACCATCAAAGTCAGGCCTTAAAGACCAATGGAGCACAAACTGGTCAACGTGTGGGTGTCCAGACGTCGATTGGTATCTAGGCAGAAGGGGTACCAAATGCAGAGCCAAACCAGTCGACGTGATTTAGCTGAACCAGTCTACACACGTCGACATGATTTAGCTGAACCAATCGACGTATACCCTGCACACGTTGACCAATTCTTGTTGTTTCCCAGTTTTCATTTCTTCTCCCCTCTTGTCTAATCCCGACCCATTTGACGATGCCATGGTGCACTATAAAGCTTAGTATGATGCATTAATTATATCTTGACATTAAAAATGACCATAATGCCCTTAAATGACCTCGGGTTCGATTACGGGCCTGGATAATGATCTGGATCCCTAAGTTTGTGCCGTTACACAGCCACTGTTCACCCGACACCTACCGACTCCTTATACATGGCTTTCTAATGTGCTAATTTTTCGTTTCTTCTTCACTGAGGTCCAAGTTGCCGACCCTCTCCTAATCATCCTCAACTTCCTCATCTTCCCCTCCCTTTTTCCGTTAAACCAGATGCCCTTTCTCTTTCCTTTCTCTCTTTCTCTTTCTAACAGATCGACGTCAAACCCATTTTTCCGGCGAACATTCTACGACCACTAGTGAACCCATCTTCTCCATCGAAACTATCTTTATCTCTCTAGTAAACTCTCTCTCTAAAAACCAATACCTAAAACACAGACCCATTTTCATTGTCAGAAAAAAAATACAACAACCTATTTAATTTCTTAAACCCTTGATGAAATTGGGGTTGATCGATCTCCATCTACAAATCCAAAAAGCTCAATCCATCATCCTCCATGGCCACCACTTCCATCTCACCTCGGATTCAGATGCCCATTACCTACTCACCAAACCAACAAAAAACAAACCCATTGAGGCAAGTATATATATACATATATACATACATATGTATATCAATATTGAGATTTGTTGTGTATGTATATTATTATGTAGATAGAGAGTGAGTAAAGAGAGAGGGGTTTTGGTAATATTGCCGATGGGTCTTTTGGGTTCTGATATGGTTTTCAAGGTCATATTCATGATACAGAGAAAACATTAATGGTGGTGGCGGTTTGCCGATAGGGTAGGTGGTGGTGAATGACTCGACGGGTTGTCGCTTGGTAATGGTGGCTATGGCCGATGGGTGTAACCGGTGAGACTGGACAGGTATTGGGCAGTCGTCGGTGTTTGTAGGAGAAACGACTGTTGTGTAGCTGCAGCCCATATGGGCCAGAAGGGCCAGACCATACCAGTGCTGGGTCAAGGCCGGCCGGAAAAGAGCATCGGATGTCCTCTCCTTCTGTACTTGGAGTTACGTTGGAGAGATAGAGAGAAGGAAGGGGAGGGTGCTGCCGGAGCAAGTGGAGGCGAGGACGGTGGGATCCCCTCTAGGATCCGGCAGCTGCAGATGAAAGGGATGAGGAAGTTGTGCTTGTTGATGTGGTTATTGTTATCGTAGTCGATTCGAGTTGCCGAAATTTCTTGAAGACGAAGAGATCAATGAACGAGGAACGGGTCAAACCCGAATAGTTGGTCAATACCTAACTTAATTCTAAGTTTGCTTTTGACCACTTGTCTTAAATTGATTGGGCCACGTCACCAGAATTGGACACAAGCATTGTCCCTTTTTAATAGCCTTTGTTCCCCCCCTTCCCCTTTTCCTTTCGATATTATGTTTTAATATATTAAAAATATTGTGTTTGTATTGTGAATTTACATGATGGAACACGAACAGAAAAGAAAATCTTGGATGACTTTATTAACACTTGAACTGTGGACTACACCAACATCAACTAAGTTTTAGGTGCAATCCAAAATTTCTACACATATTAACAAACCTATCTATCATCTGGTGATATGCGCAACAAAAGAATCCAACTCCATGCGTGACACACCGCCTTCCTGCACCGACCGCTTGACAGCGCCACTCATTTCCACCACTCTCTTCCTCAAGTCATCTCCTTCCTTTGACACCATCAAACTTTTCACAGCTGTTTCAACCATTGATGAGCTTACCAACTCATCACGACGTGCCCAATCCTTGACCACTAGGCCAACCTTGAGCAACTTTGTTATGAGCATAGTGTTCCTCGGCTGGTCTGAATGCACAGGCCATGCCGCAATTGGCACTCCCATACTAATGCTCTCCATGCATGAATTCCAACCACAGTGACTCATGAATCCTCCTGTTGATTTGTGTCCGAGAATTTGCAATTGAGGTGCCCAATCTCTCACCACCATTCCCTTTCCTTCCACTCTTTCTTCAAACCCTTTTGGCAGTTGTGCTCTTCTTGTTTCTCCCACAAACACATCTCCTTTATCTGCATCTCTCAATACCCAAATGAACTTCTGCTCACTTCGTTCCAGTCCAAGCGCGAGCTCTTTGATTTGTTCATCTCTCAATGAAGTTGACGTCCCAAAGGACACAAATATCACTGAGTTTGGGGCCTGTTTGTCCAGCCATTCCAAGCATTTGTGGCGTTGAGTTTCATCAGATACTTCCACCGGATTGAATGGTCCAATAGCCCATTGCTTTACGCTTTTGGCTGTAATCTCTTCTCTTGCAAGAAAATCAAGAAAAACACCTTCTATTGCCTTACACGTGTTGAATAGATAACCAGAACTAAAGTTTAAGTAATTAGTTTGCGTGTCAATAAGTTCTATGAACTCTGGAGTGAAACATCCTTCCAAGGAAGGAAGGTCTTCGACTATTTTGGCATCAAGTGGGAAGGGTTTTCCCAATATTTCCCACAAGTAGAAGAAAGTAGCGAAAGCCGAAACACTATGGAACATGTAGGACTCAGCGTTTGGGATACAAGTGACATCCTGAACAACAGAAGACATCATGGAGTCATGAATAATGATAACTCGTTTTGCAGTGGATGAGAGTGCGCGAAAAATGGCGGCAGTGGGTTGGCGAAGCTGTGTTAAGGCTTCAAATAATGGTTGGAGATGGGAGGGAAATTGAATGGAGGCATCGGGGTTGGGAGGAGGAGATATAAAAGCAGGGGTTGACAACTCATGGAAATGGATGTTGGGGATGTCGAGAGGGTTCCAACCATGGACGCGAAGCTTGGCTTGGCGGATGTGGGTGGAGGTGCAGACATAGTGGACTGGTATGTCATAGGAGGAGATGAGTCGGGAGAGTTGGAGGAGCTGGTTGAGATGGCCCTGTGCTGGAAGAGGGACCATTACTACAACAACTTCGGTTTGTTTTAGACCATTTTGGTCATGATTTTTATGATGGTAGTGGTGGTCAGCCATGGAAAGATCAGTTCTTTCTTTCTAAGACTAAGACAATGTTCTTGGGAATTATGGCAATAACACACACACACATATATATATCTAAGCTCTAGCTTGTTTCAAATTCAGAGATTAATCATACTTTGTTATGATAAGCTTTATTATTGAACCAGACAAAAGGTAATTTTTTAAAGAGTCGTGCTAGGGACATTAGGATATATATAATATATATTGAATTTAGGACTTTTGTGGGTGGTGATGATCTCAATTTCAATGTATAGCTTTTTGTTATCTACTCAACATCATTGTTATGGAAAATAAAAAAACACTTCAATGAACGTTTAGTTGCCTGGATTATATTTGGCAAAATATTAAATTATGTAATGAAACTGTTGGAAACGGGGCATTAAAAACATAAACTTTGGATGAGATTTGAAATAGATTCCGCTACTAATTTTTTACGAATCTCTAGACAAGCACGTTTCTCTCCGCAAGGAGATGAACGTGGTATATTTACTTTCTGAAATCCGTTTCTGGATGAATGAGAAATTAGCTCCAAAGTGTAGTGTTTTGATAAGCCTAAATAGGTATGCAAAATGTGGGAAGTGTTTGTCCCACATGGAAAAAATGTTGAAACAAATTGAAATTTAAATAAGCTGAGTTTAGGATTTGGGCTTGGGTTTGGGCCTAATTGTAAAGTCCAGATTATTCTTTTTTGGAATTTTAGATTGGGCCTAATTTTGGGCTGGGCTTATTTAAATGGGTTTTACAAATGAGTAGGTTTTTTTGGGTGGTTGGTTTTTTGAATTAAAAAAACTACTTTTTAGTTTTTCTAAAAGGTTACACCTTTTAAATTAAAAAAACCATATTTTAGTTTTTCTAAAGGGTTACACCTTTTAAATTAAAAAACCACTTTTTAGTTTTTTCAAAAGGTTACACCTTTTTTCGAACCATCATGACCCATGGTTGCACCCATTCGAAAAGACACATTGCAACCTATTGGAATGGATGTGTCTATTGGTGAACAGACACCATGTGAACCATTGCAACCTATTGGAATGGATGTGTCTAGTGGTGAATAGACACCATGTGAACCATTGTAACCTATTGTAATGGTTGTGTCCAATGATCAAGAGACGCACCCAATCAGAAAAGGCATTTCTGTTTCTATAAATACCCCCCTTTGGATCATTTGCAAATTATTCATTTTCATTTTCTTCTATCTCCCTCTCTAGACTAGAACCCAACCCAAGTGGGTTCAAACCTTAGGTTAAGTGGTTCGAGCCACTTCGATCCTAATCCAATTTCATCGAGCTATATTAAGATTGGTCCGAACCATCTGGTTCGGATTACACCCAATTCAGCATTTATATAGTATATAGATGCATTTTTGAGTCAGAGAGAGTATTACACGGAGAGGTTCGCCGTATCCACGAGTTTGTAGTGCTGCTACTGGTGGATGTAGACCGTTGTATCCTGGGAGATAGACGCCACTGAGTCCGTTAGCACCATAGCGGGGCGAATCTGTCTTAAGGACATAGTATCCAATACTAGCCTCGGTCCAGGTTCATTCCTTGCATATTATTATTATTTTATTGCTTTATTTTGTATATTTAATTAAATATAGAGTTGCATATTTAATTAATGATTTATTAGCATATTGTTAATTATCTCATGACATATTAGTATAAAGGTTGTTATATCTTAAAAGTCACATTAAGCATATATTTTACCAACAGGAACTTGTGTCAAAAAGAGTTGGCAAATTGGTAGCAATCAACTTCAAAATATGAGTCAAAGATGGAGGCATGGTTAGTCACATCGTTCCATTCGTAACATTTTTTTAAGTGTCTAATTTTATTACACATCTTTATGAATCGGCTGGTTCGACCAATTTATACTGATATTCACTCAAATCCATTATACCACGACTGTGAACCATGGTTACAGGATTGTGCAATGAATAACAAATGTATATCACACATGGTTAAATAACAAGTCATTCCAAACATTCCCTAAGGTTTGTATTGCTTTAATTGTTGAGATGCCTAAAAGGAATCTCAGCCGTCCACATATCTTATTGTGAAATGTTTGCTGGGTGATGACATTTCAATTCTCATCAGGTTATTCACGTCTTTTTCGAAGTGAAACTAACCTCCCCACGTAAATAACAAGACGAGTAAGGCGTCAGTGAGACCCACATCCGCTTTTCACTGGTATGATGGTTTCTACAATTATTTATTTATTTATTTTATTTTTATAAAAAAAAATTGGCAACAACTTGGTTGATTTTAGTAGCTTCCGAACTAAGTAAATTAGAAAATTGAGTTTTAGCCCAACCAAACAGCTAAAAATTGGAGTTTTGTGGTCATTTGATGCGTTGACGTGGGATATGAATGTATCAAATTAATGACAACAAAATCTGTCTGCTGGTTATTTTGGATTTTGTTAAATTATAATATATAATAGCATGTCAAAATGAATTAATCAAACAAAAAAGACATTTTCAGCTAATATTATAATTTATGATGTGGACATTATAACAAGAAATATACCTGGTGGCAAATGTCATAAAAATCGCATTTTCTCAATTTTGTTGCATGGAATTGGATGTTATTTTAATCTTTACTCTAGTATTTTTCTTTTTCCAAATGAGTTTTGAATAAATTTAACTTAGGTGATGCAAGTTATATTTTGTTAGAGGCTATATTATTTCATACACTAGTAATTTTTGTAAAGAGCAAATTCAGTGTATAAGATTCTTCTCATTTCGAGATTTGGAAAATATTAGATATGCAGTTTCTTTTTTTTTCGTATATAAAAATAATATTTCTTTATTTCAAAATCATGATATTCATGTTACAATAAAACAACTTAATATAGTTTCAAAGGTCTTCTATTTCCTGAAACAATAAGCTATTCAAATTTTCTCATGTCATCAAATGGCATGAAAATATTTAAGAATATAATAGAAAAGGGTAGTAATAAAATAACAATTTTTTTTTTTTTAGAGTGACTTTGAGGAAGTAGAATAATTGGCTTATGAGAACGTCATATCTTGGTTCGATTTTCTTCCTGTTGAATTAATATTTATGGATTTTTCGAAACTAATCTGACTTTTGACTTGAAGTTCTCACATGTATGCTAAAGATTAGTATTATGAAAGGGTGAACTCCCCCCTCAATATCAAAATAGAATAATAGGAAAAGAGAATGGTAAGGGTCCTTTAAATGATTCTGCAATTAATATATATATATATATATATATATATATAAAAGAAAAGGTTAAAATAAATTAAAGCTTTTGATATGGTTATTGTTATTTTTTTAATTGATATTCACACATTTGGCTGAAGGAATTGGCTATGTTATGGTTATAGTATAATCTTTTTAAAAGTCTTTCTTTAGTATGTATTTTTATAAAATTTGTGGTGACATTTAAGTCTACACCAAATTGAATTATTGTTGATGTTTAAGTATTGACCTTACAATTTTATTCAAAGAAATTTTCAATTATTCCAACAAGATGATAATTTACTTATTTTTAATGAAAAATCATCATGCAGATGTCTCAATAACTCAATGAGTTAGTGCATTCGATTGATTTTGAAGTGTCAAACTTCAATTCTTTGCATCTATTAATTTAACTTTTAATCTTTTTTACTATGTAAAAAAAATAAAAAATTATTATTAAATGTTAATGGCCTACGGCCACCTAATATTTTATTTTGAAGTAAAAATATCACGCAAGTTTAGTCAATTTTGATAGGGGATGCAAGCAAAGTGAGAAACGGAAGGAGTCGAGAATATATCTATTTTATTTTATTTTATTTTTTATTGTCCTTGTTCTCTATATTTTTTTCTCCACGCAAATGATAATTGGTGAATTTATTTATTTATTATTTTTTTCTCTTTAGGCAAGCAATACCAGTCACTTTTCCATATGTTTATTTATTTACGAATTTAATAAGTATCCAAACAAGTGGACTGGTATGATATAAAAGTGTGGTCCACGACAATTCAGTTACAGAAGAGTGCCCCACCTTTTTTCGTCGCAACCACACATTTATTCCAATACAGATATTAGATAATCACACAAAAATAAAAATAGGAAAACTAATTTTGGGTTAAATTAAGAGTCCTAAATAATAAAGTAGTTTATTTAAAAAATTATTTTTTATTTTACTTGAATTAAGTAAAATAATTATATTTTTATTGAGAACTATTATTTAGGTCCAAAATGTCCTCAAGTTCTTATTTCAAAAGACCAAATTATCCTTGTTAAATCAAATCATTATTTCACTCAATTCTGAGGCCAGGTTGAATAGAAATGAAAAAAAAAAAAAAAAAAAAAGAAGGAAAGGTGATGGAGGGAAATGCTATATTGTGTATGGTATAAATCATTATAGTTTTCGTATAAATTATTAAGAAAAAAAATAAATGATTGTAATAATATCTATTCATATGTGGATAAATTATGAAAGAAAATAATAATAATAATATTTTTATTTGGATAACGTAAAAAAGAGAAAAGAAAAAGAAATGATACTATCCATTTTATATTTATTACAAGTAACCAAGGATGGATCTATGTACAAGTCAGTGGGGCAATTGCTGTAATACTCCTAATTTTAAAAGGATAGTCTCTGTATTCATTTAATTATTTTATTTACATTTTTATATTATTTATTTAATTTCTTGACTATTTGTTTAATTGCTTATTTGAATTACTTGTTTATGTGGTTATTTGAAATAAGTTGTTTATTTATTTTTTATGATAAATGATTAATATTTGTTTGCATATATGTTAGGTGTTTAGTTGTAATTAATTGTTAGGAACTAAATAATTTAAATGTTTGTTTTATTTTATTTTAATTTTTATTTTTAAGGATGGACTTAGATGGTAGTAATGGACCACCCAACGGGTCGCATGGACTACTTGGGTAGGATTATTTTTGGGTATGGATAATTACCCATGGGGTGTAGTATAATATATATATAGGTATATATGTATATTTATGGATATTATATTTATTAATATTTTAAATGATTAATATTAA